TTCAGAGGATCCAAAGCCCTCTTCTGGCCTCTGCAGGCACCCACATATATGTAGTACACACACACACATGCACACGCACGTACACAAATAAATAAAATCAATCTTAAAAAACACTGACATGCTTGTTGTTTCTCCCCATGAGTCAAGGACAGGAGAGGAATTTGGCTGAGAAAATTTGGAAAAGGAAAAGGGCACAGTCAGAGTGGATGGAAGGAGTCTGGACCTGCTACCACTGCCTCAGGTATCGTGGCCCCAATAGTTTGCCGGTGATTTTCAGGTGAAGTCTCATGTAACGCTCAAATCTTTCAAGACTGTCTCCACTTGATAACAAAGAACCTCAGACCAAGTGCCATTGATTAGCATTCTTGTCTACAGCCATACACTGTGGATTGGCAGCCCCAAGACTGCACTGCAGATATGTCTGATTTTATAGTCTCTCTGTTTTTTCCTCTCTGTTGGTTTGCATTCAGTTTGAGGAATGAATTTCAAGAGCCTTTGAACTTATGAAGAAGAACATCTCATTGCCATTCAAATCCATACCCTTGCTGCTCAGAAAAGCGCAGGGATTAGACTAAAACTGCAATAGTAATCCACATACAAGAACGCTTGAAGCCACATGGAATGGAAAAGATCCCTAACGAGACTGTGAGACAGTCTAGGTCTGGGATGAGGCCTCAAATGGCATCGCAGAGCATCAGTGGCCAAGGGCTAGGAAGAGAGGGAGTCAAAGGGGGGAGGGATTCAGAATTCACATTCAGAGAATAGAAGGAGAGCTAATGGCTCTAGTCCAGCAGACTGCTAGAGAATATTAAAAGCTTTTGAAAAGCCGGGCGGTGGTGGCGCACGCCTTTAATCCCAGCACTCGGGAGGCAGAGGCAGGCGGATCTCTGTGAGTTCGAGACCAGCCTGGTCTACAGAGCTAGTTCCAGGACAGGCTCCAAAGCCACAGAGAAACCCTGTCTCGAAAAACCAAAAAAAAAAAAAAAAAAGCTTTTGAAAAGACAATGGAAGACAAGGCTCGAGATGCAGCCACTTGACTCCACAATAAGAGCGTCGCTGCAACCCAACAGTGAGGATAAATGGAATAACTGAGCAGAGCAAGAATGAGCTAGACTGGGTGGTAAAGGACAGCCAGCCAGAGAGATGGCTCCACAGGCGAGGAGCTTGCCGCAAAGCTGAGTTTGGCTGCTGGAACCCACAGAGTAGAAGAGAAGTGATTTCTGCAAGCTGACCTCAAGCCCACATGTGGACTGTGGCACATGGGCACACAAACACATACACTCAACAAATAAATGTTAAACATTTTTAAAAAGAAATGAAAGAGAATAAGTATAGACCTGTTCCAGAAGTCTGGCATAGGAGATTAAAAGAAGTCTGTAGTTAAAGGCCTTAAATAATGACCTGGACATCACTGCTCTCAAAAGTTTTAAGACAATCCCCAAAGAAATTGGACTCCCTGCCCCTAGAAAAAGCAGACTTTTGTTTGTGTGTGGGTCTGTGTGTGGGTGTGTGTGCACAGTATTTTAAACTAGAGTGATCTAGATTTATGGTTTTTGTTTTATGGTTTACTCAGCATGAATGTTTTGAATTTTGCAGTTTCCATATATTTCAGCCCATGTCAGCAGCATTCTCCACATGGCTGGTGGTAACAACATCATGAGTCTTCATATTCCTAGAGACAATATGACTCTTGTTTGCTCAGGAAAAAAATCATAAAAGTGAAGCACTGCACAAAAACATCTACCCAGAAACTGGGAGTATGAAAATAACAAAATTTCTGATTAGCACAGAAACAGACACATTGATCAATGGAATCAAATTAAAGACCCAGACATAAATCCACGTGCCTGTGAATACCTGATTTTTTATAAAGAAGCCAGAAATACACACTAAAAAAGAGAAACATCATCTTCAACAAATGGTGCAAGTCAAACTGGAGGCCTGCATGCAGACAAATCCAAACAGAGCCACACTTCTCACTCAACTCCAAATGGATCGAGCACCTCGACATAAAACAAAGTACACTGAACCTGAGAGAAGAGAAAGTGGGGAGTAGCCGTGAACACGTTGCCACAAAAGACACTTCCTGAACAGAACACCTGTAGTACAGCACTAAGACTGATAAGTAATAAACAGGACCTCATGAAACTGAAAAGCTTCTGTGTGGCCAAGGACACCATCTCTTGGACAAAACAGCAGGCTACAGAATGGAAGAAGATTTTCACCAACTACATATCTGATAGAGCCCTAATTTCCAAAATATATAAAGAACACAAAAAACTAGATATCAAGAAAACAACCCAATTAAAAATGGGATACAAATCTATGACCAGGTGGTAGTGGTGCACGCCTTTAATCCCAACATTCAGGAAGCAGAGGTAGGCTAATCTCTGTGAATGCGAGGCCAGCCTGGTCTACAGAGTGAGTTACAAGACACCAAGGACTGTAAAACAGAGAAACCCTGTCTTGCGGTGGGGGGAAGAGGGGATACAAATCTAAGCAGAGAATTCTCATGAGGAAACTCAAATGGCTCAGTGTTGCAGAATATTTGATTGCACTGTGACACCTTGAACCAGGGGACATAACCAGCAACTAGGATTAACCATAGAGAAGCCAAGAATGGATAGAAAGGACGCACAGGAAGGAGTAGGAAGGGACTTAGAGGTTTCATGGTCTTGTCTATCTGGGACTTGTGGAGACAGAGATGCTTGCTGGGTCTCTGGTGAAAAAAGGGAATGTCAGTTGGTCACTCCCCCTCCACTTCTTTGATCTTTCAGGTTTTCATCCCAATATCTGACTCCTATTATTAGTAATAGAACAACTCAGACAAAAACAACAGCTGAGAAACACTGTAAAGAAATGTTCAATATCCTTAACCATCAGGAAAATACAAATCAAAACTACCTTGAGATTTCATCTTACACCCATCAGAATGGCTAAGATCAATAAAACAAGTAACAGCTCATGCTGGTAAGGATGTGGAGTACGGGGAACACTCATCCATTACTAGTGGGGAATGCAAACTTGAACAGACACCATGGAAATCAGTGTGGCAGTTCCTCAGGAAAATGGGAATAGATCTACCTTAAGATCCAGCTATACCAGCATTTACCTAAAGGATGCTTCATCCTACCACAGAGACACTTGCTCAACCAGGTCCATTGCTTCTCTATTCATAATAGCCAGAAATTGGAATCAACCACAGTGCTCCTCAAAGAACGAATGGATTTTAAAATATGATTTATTTATTTATTTATTTATTTATACAGTATCTCTTTATAGGTGGTTGTAAATCACCATGTGGTTGCTGGGAATTGAACTCAGGACCTCTGGAAGAGTAGTCAGTGCTCTTAACCATTGAGCCATCTCTCCAGCCCCCAATATGATATATTTATACAATGTAGTATTACTCAGCCATTAAAAAGAATGAAATAATGAAATCCATAGGTAAACAGATGAATGATGTAGGATTCCGCTCTGTAGGCTGTGACTATCTATATTTTATTACCAGTGGTTAATAAAGAAGCTGCTTTGACTTATGACCACAGAATATTGCCAGGCTCGAAGAGCTAGACAGTTGATAGAGTCAAAGAGATACCATGTAGCTGCTGAAGGAGGCAGATGCCACATGGCTGCCCAAGAACAAGAGGTAACAAACCACAAGCCTCATGGTAAAATACAAAATAATAGAAATTTAATTTAAGATATAATAGCTAACTAGAAATAGGCCTGAGCTGTTGGCCAAATAGTGTTATAATTAATATAGTTTCTGTGTGCTTATTTGGGTCTGGGTGACCAAGAAACAAATGTTCAGTCTCTGTTTACAGATGGATCTAGAAAATATCATCCTGAGTGAGATATACCAGGCCCAGAAAGACAAATATGGTGTGTATTCACTTATATTGCTGTACTGGATGGTTTTGTGTGTCAACTTGACACAAGATAGAGTCACCAGAGGAAGGAGTCTCAGCTGAGGAAATGCCTCCCTAAGATCTAGCTGTAAGACATTTTCTCATTTTGTGATCAGTGTAGGAGGGCCCAGGCCATGGTGGATGGTGCCATCTCTGGGATGGTGGTCCTGACTTCTAAGAAAGCAGCAGACTGAGTAAACAATGGGAAGCAAGCCAGTAAGCAGCTCCACTCCAGGGTCTCTGCATCAGCTCCTGCTTCCAGGATCCTGCCCTGTTTGATTACCTGTCCTGACTTCCTTCATTGATGAACAGAAATGCTGAAGTGTAAGCCTAATAAACCCTTTCCTCCCCAGCTTGCCTTTTGATCATAGAGTTTTGTTGCAGCACAGAAACCAAAGTAAGACATGGCATAAGTCAAACATGGTGTGTATTCACTTATATGGATGGACGTGGGAAGCTGGGACAGAAGGATCAAGCGAGGAAGAGGGGAATGGAGGATAAGGAAGGTAATATGGAAAAAGACAGCTAAAATTAGAGCCATTTGAGAAGTAGTCTGGAAATCAAATATGAAGAAACTTTGTAAAATATTCACATTTATGAGTGCAATTTAAATGAAATTATCAAATAATGGGGGAGACAGATCTCTAACTGGACATCTCTTGTTGTCAAATGAAACTTCTAATACCAGGATTGGGTTACATCTAACTGAGTTGTTGGCCAAAGGGGTCCCATGAGAAACCCCCAAACAACCCAGGTTGTTGCCAAGTCTATAGATTTCTCTCCACAGACTGACAGCAAGGCCTCACTGCTGAAGACACACCTGCACTGAATGTGGAGAAGACAAGCTGATGCCTTCAGCCCTATGTACTAGTTAGTATCTGTGGTCCAGAAAGATGATTTGCATGCTACCAAAAGAGAACCCAAAAAAATGAGAGGGGGGGAAGAAGAGGAGGAGGAGAAGGAGGAGGAGGAGGAGGAGGAGGAGGAGGAATGGAATAGGAAGAAGAAGAAGAGGAGAGAAGGAGGAGGGGAACCAAATTTCTAGTCTAATATTCCAGACATCTTTACTTTGCGATAACGAGCACTTACTTGAATTAGGGGGCCAGGATGCCCGGTATTCACTGCTTGCTTGAGTTCTGAGTGACCTGCCCCGAACCTGGAAAGTCATAATGATGTCAAGAGTTATTTATTATCAGCAGAAGGATATACCCAAAAATTTAAAACAGGAAAGGAAACAAAAATCATGTCCTCTACCACAACATACGAAATGTGACATATTTATCTTAATAGCATGTGCAGCTACAAAAGACTCTCTAGTTTCCAGTGCTCTCCCCATGTGTTTTCTCACCCAGAGTCAGCTCCTCTTGGAGTGAGGGGAGGAGAATAAGCAGCAGGGATCCTGGGGACTCAGGAACCACAATTCCTTACACAGCTACACAGCTGCTGAGCACCAAGTTACCACACATTCCTTCCCTGGATTGTCATACCCCGTCCACAGTCAGTTCCTCTGCGATGGAAGCCCCAATGAAGCCCGTGTGGAGCCCTCAGCAGGGTCTTATTTTATCATCATCATCATCATCATCTTGATGCTGCCTTAAAGGATGGACCCATTAGATCAGGCTGCCCCAGGGGATTGCCTAAACAAGACATGGCAGTATTACCTTCCTCTCTTGTTTCTTCTGTGTCTCCATGACATGCAGACGCTCCATGAGGCTGGAGATGCCCTGCTCCAAGCTGTCAATGGTGTGATGCTGAGGATCATGGCCGCTGAAGCTGTTGCGCAGGCTGCGGAGAGCATCTCGGACGAGCTGGAGGTCACTGGTCTGTGGCTAAAATGACAGTGCTGGTGAGCAGGGAGCCATGCCGTATTCCCATCCCCGTCCCAACCACTGCGCTGAAGAGGACTAACAGGAAAGTTCCTAGGACAGAGGCCTGAGTTCCATAGAGGAAAATATGCCTCCCTCGATACTTACTGAGTAACTACTAATTAACTCTAAAGATTTAAAGTTTTTTTTTTTTAAAAAAAAAAATGTATACTGCGTTCTGTCTACATATATGCCTGCAGGCCAGAAGAGGGCGCCAGATCGTTGCGAGCCACCAAGACGTTCCATTCTGGAAGAGCAGTCAGTCCTCTTAACCACCGAATCATCTCTCTCCAGCCCCCATTAACTCTTAATTTTAACAACTGATTTTTTTAAAATATTATTTATTTATTTATTTATTATGCATACAATATTCTGTGTGTGTGTGTGTGTGTCTACAGTCTAGAAGAAGGCATCAATCCTCATTACAGATGGTTGTGAGCCACCATGTGGTTCCCGGGAATTGAACTCAGGACCTTTGGAAGAGCAGGCAATGCTCTTAACCACTGAGCCATCTCTCCAGCCCTTAACAACTGATTTTTAATTTTGGATAATGGATGCCTTACATCTGTATACACCCATCAGGTGCAAGAATCAAAGGCTTAGCCTGCTGGTGATCGCCAGGGCGTCGCTCTCACTTCAGCTTCTTGTCTAGTCCTAGGCACCTACCCCTCTGTGGGTGACGGAAGCAGCACCCCTCCCCGCTACTGGAAGAACAAACCCATTGCGCTGAGAGCTGTGACTGTAAGTTGTCACCTAGAAGAAGAAACAACAGCTGTTAACAAGATGGATAATTGCAAACCAAGACACCTTCTCTTTACATTCCGCTCTTTGCGGTGTAGCATGTAACTATTTACGGGTTTACTGCTTACATTAGAAGTTATGTGGATGGGGGAGGACCTAGGACTTACCACAGGGCAGGGAACCCGGACTGCTCTGTGGACTGGAGAGGGAGGGGGAGAGGAGTGGGGGGAGGGGGAGAAGGGTGGGAGGAGGGGGAGAAGGGTGGGAGGAGGGGGAGGGAAATGGGAGGCTGGGAGGAGGTGGAAACTTGTTTTTTGTTTATGTTTTTTTTTCTTCTTTTCTTAATAAAAAAAATTATAAAAAAAAAGAAGTTATGTGGAGGCTACGGATATGGTTCAGCGAGTAACAGTGTCTGCCACACAAGCCAGACGACCTGAGTTTGATCCTGATAACCCATGTAAAAAGCCAGGTGAAACAATGTACATAAACCTCTCTTTTCTACAGTGAGGTGCGAGTTAGAGACAGGAGAATAACCCTGAAGCTCATGGGTCAGCCAGCCCAGTGGATGCAATACAAGAGCGAGCCTGCTTCAACCAGGCTGAAGATGAGAACTGGTGTGTACACGCGTGTGCACGCATGCACACACACACACACACACCAAATGAAAGGAACATTTTTAGGGTCATGAATGGAGATGTGGTCTCCCTTTTCCCCACTGTATCAAGGCTGCAGTTGACACTCACTGGGCATTTCGAACGCAGAGCGAATGAACTGGACCTTGGCCTGGAAGCCCACAGCCACTCCAGTACTCTTTATCAAGACTGAAAGAGCGTCTGTATATTTTTTGGTGTTTTTGTTTTGTTTTTCAAGACAGGGTCTCTCTGTGTAGTCCTGGCTGTCCTGGAACTCCTGGACTTGAGCACAGAGATCATACTGCCTCTGTCTCCCAAGTGCTGGGATTAAAGGCGGTACACCTTTACCGCCTGGCCTAGAACACTTGTATCTTTTTGTTGTTGTTGTTGTTAATTATGTATTTATATGTATAAATATTTAAATAGCCAACACAGATATCAAACATGAAATTATGGTCAATAATTTTTGAAAATGCAATAAACATATTTCTGATTTAACCATTGTAGTCATAGTATTAATTAAAATAGAATTCTAGTTGAAACATGCCAAAGCATGAAAAGAGAGGCAAAATTTAATGAGCCATTACTTAAACCTAGCTTTAGTTCACCTCTTCCCTAGTCCTAAATTCTTTTTTTTATTTTTATTAAAAATTTCCACCTCCTCCCATTTCCCTCCCCCTCCCCCCCATTCATCCTTCTCCTCCCTCTCCAGTCCAAAAAGCAGACAGGGTTCCCTGCCCTGTGGGAAGTCCAAGGTCCTCCCCCCTCCATATCTTAAACCCAACTCTGTGCTAGGTGGATTTAGTAAGACTTTATTCAGTTGCTTATGTAATTTAATAGTCTTCATTATAAGAGAGAGGGTCTCTGTTATTTTTCATATTTCATTTCTAAATGTTAGATGCTAGGTACCACACTCCAGTCCCCTTGGTGCTGGAGAGTGAACCTGGTACCTTGCGCACACTAGACAAATGTTCCACCCCTGAGCTACACACCCAGGTCCTGGAACCTGCACTCAACACCTCACTATAAAGAATCCTAACAAACCTGGTCCGGTAACATGAGAAGGAAAACCCAAGTTCTGAGTTACCTCGTCTGCCTCTCTTTTCATGCAGTGAGCCAGAAGGACATCTTTATGTTCTAGCTCCCGTTCTAGATCCACCTGGAAAACAGAGCAAATCAGGAAAGTGTTTCCTTCAGGTCAAGCGGTCAGGCAGGCCAGTGGCTGCTGTGTCCTGACCTGCTGGTAGCTGGCATCTGAGAGTTTCCGGAGTGCTTCTTCCAACTTGGCCTGCTGCTGCTGAAGGAGGCGGTCCTTCTGCCCCAGCTCTTTCTACAAGGGAGATAAGCTTTCAGAGGTGTGCAAACACAAGGATATCAAGTGGATCACACTCTGTACACCCTTCCCCGTGAAAAGAAGAGCCTCAGGGACACGGGCTTCCTTCACACTATGCCTGGAAGGCTTTCCATACCATCACAGTCTTACATAGTGCCAGGATTCTTAGAAAGGCAAGAAGGAAGCAAACTGCCTGTAGGAGGGCCACTAAGGGCCATCCTCGCTACTGAGATAGAGGTGAGTTTGCCACTGACTCTTCCCACGTTCCTGTGCTATGCTCCTCTCCAGAGCTGTTAGCTATGCTTCAGAGCTAATGGAGAGATTTCCTACCAGAGAGCAAAGAGAGAGTTGAATATGGAAGTGCCCTTTGAGCATCAGCTAACATGGGTCACTCACGAAAGGTCACCAGGAGGGCATTTCTTACTTTGTATTCTCCCAAGAGCCGGTTCCTCTCGTCTAGCTTCCTCTGAAGATCCACCTGTAAGTAAGAAAGAATTCAGTGGCATGGAGGTATCATATACCAACCCTCAGGAAAACCAGCCGCTTGGCAGCAAAGTTAACAACAGTATAGTATAAAGCACAGAGAGGGCAGGCAGTGACAAAACACACACCAGCTCCCCATGTCTTTAAGCAGACAGTAAAGACACAATTTGGCCTTAGTGTTCTCCAAGCTGAGGCCGAGTCAAGGACCATCCGAGGTGCTGTAGGCTTAGGTGCTGTGACCTAAGACCAGAAAAGAGTCTTACGGGAATAAAAATAACTATAGACACGGAAGGTGGGCACCCAGGAACAAACTAAGGAGACTACAAGCGCGGCTGAGCAGCCTTCACGAAGCATCCCCTGTGACTGACAGGCGCTCTGAGGTCATTGTTCACACGTTTGACTCACGTTCTGGTTGTGTAGCTCATCCTTGTCCATATTTGCCCTCAGAAGCTCTTGCTTGAGCTGAAGAACAGATGTGTCCTGCTGAGTCAACCTCTGCTGCAAGGCATCCTGGGGGAATAAGGACACCCACCATTGCAGCCTCAATCCATCACCCGCCCAGTCAGTGCTTCTTACTGAGTTCCTCGCTGCACTGCGCATTGAGCATTAATTCTGTCAAACTTGGGGGATGAAGGCAATAGCAGGGACTTTGCCACAAGGACCTGGGTAGACACCATCATCTACAGGGAAATCACATCCATTGCCCTACCGAGAGAAACCGGGTTTCCCCTCGCCTACAGCTCATCCTAGTCAGACAAGAGGGGGTAGCTTTTGAGAACAGACAGACATAGATCCACGTTAAATGCCCATCATGTCTTACTTGGAAGACACTGACCTTAAATGGTGTAGTCCTCCTCCTCCCCCCTAGTTTTCTTGTCTACCTCTTGGGTATATAAACAATCCACCTGACTTAGCGCCTTCTCTCTCTGCCTAGTCCCCATTTCCTAGAGCAGTGGTTCTCAGCCTTCCTAACGCTGCAACCCTTTAATACAGTTCCTCATGTTGTGGTGACCCCAAACCATAAAATTATTTTCATTGCTATATCTTAACCACAAATTTGCTACTGTTATGAGCATGATGCAAATATATGATATTCCTGATGGTCTTAGGTGACTCCTGCGAAAGGGTCATTGACCCCCAAAGGGGTCGCAACCCACAGGTTGAGAACCACTGCTCCAGGTAATACAGTATGGCCTTGAATTCATGGTTCTCTTATCTCAAATGAGTACCAGATCTGGTAGGGAACCCATTTTTAATCACCCAGGTGACAGGTCAGTACATGGCAGAGGCAATCTGAGATGTCCCTGACATTTGTAGCCTGGCACATTTCCAAAGCTCACTGCACAGGATCACGGGATAGATGATAGAGAATTACAGGGAAAGGAGCCTCCGCGGCTGCTAGACTAAATGTTTTCAGGGACTGCCAAAAACAGTTTTCAAAGCTTTCATTTTTATTTGTGGAGTGTGTACGTGTGTGTGTGTGTGTGTGTGTGTGTGTGTGTGTCTATCTGTCAGTGAAGTTCAGGCCCTCCATAATGGCAGTAATTCTCTTAATCAATTTCATGCTCTACCTTCTAAGATCCTTCGATGTGGCATAATTCACAATGAATCTTTAAGCCTATCAGGAATTTCTCAAACTCGTTTAATCAAAGGGCATACTACTGTTTTGAAATACTTCAAAGCGCTGAGGTTACAGAATGTGCTTTGGGAAATGTTACCGAGTTACTCTTGGCTAGTCAATGAAAGTTTGTGCAAGACAGAGGGAACCAGTAGGAGTTTTAGATGAATACTTAGATGCTATAATCCCATTTGTGTAAATAACATATTCTAAGGTTATTAGCTCAAGCATTGTATATATCATCAAAACAGCTCCCCCAAAGTAACTAGTCTAAAGTGCCACCAACAGGAGTCTATCATATATATATATATATATATGTATATTTATTATTTATTATATAAATTTAAATTTTAAATATACATGCACAAAACTATTGTGAAGGCTAAAGAGATGGCTTAGTTGTTAAGCACACTAATTGCTCTTCCAAAAGATCTGAGTTCAATTCCCAACACCATATGGCGGCTCACAACCATCTGTAGCTCCAGTTCCAGGGACTCCAACACACTCTTCGGGCCTCCTCAGTTACCAGACACGCAAGCGGTGCAGATATACACACAGGCAAAACATTCACACACATGACAGTAAAATAAAAAGGAGAGCATTTACTATAGAACAACCTCTCAAACACACTGCTAAGCGAAAGAAGCACAACGCCAAGCTGTGCTTGCAGTATACTATTATTTGGGTTGAAAAGTGGGAGAAGGCAATAAATAGACATATTGGATAACTGTTGCCTCAAGGGGGACAAAACTGGCTGAGGTGGCAGTGGGGCGGGATGGGATGGGGCGGGGTGAGGCAGAGCTGGTGGGAGAATTTTCATGGTCTATCCTTTTGTGTCTCTAAACTGTCAGAATGTTATTAACAATTCCCTTCTCTTTTTTCCTAAAAAGGGCATTCTTTTGAACTGAGAGAGAGAGTGCTCTCACACAGAAAAAGTCAAGGTGGTGCAGAGGCAAGTGACAGCACCATGAGTCACAACTACGAGACTTAAGCCTCAGCAGAACAAAGATGTCTTCCTCAGCATGTCTCTGCCCACCACAAAGCCCCTCCTATACTCCTAGACCAAGCCTGGTAAAGACTCCCAGCAAATCCAACAGTCCCCCAGTAGCCAGCTCTCAACGCTCACAAATAGCTCACTCAACCTCACAGAGGCTTACAAAGAATAAAATAGCAAAGAAAGAAGGAATGTAATGTCTGCCGTTTACCTTCACCCCCTGCAGGTTTCTGGCTTCTTGCTTGCATTTCAGCAGCTCCCTCTGCAAACCAAACACAGTGAGATCAGATGGTGGCGACTGAGCTGTTTCATAAGCATTACCTCATTCTGTCCGCAAGAAGACAAAACCCAGTTGGTCATTCCGTGAAGATTAACCCATCAGCTGAGGCACGAACAGATGTAGTCCGGAGAGCAGTAAAGGCTGACCCTCGGAAACAAGACTAAGACCCCTCTGTCCTGTGGCACCCGCCGCTGAGCTGCCCAGGCAGAGGAGAGCAGTGTTGAGAAGAAGACACCCATCCAGGCCCCAGGCTCTCCATACGCGGCAGTCTCCTCACCAGGAAGACTTGATCACATCAACTAAATCTCCACTCAGACATGCGATGCCTATGTTTGCTGCTGCTCAACAGCTATTCCGACTTCATTTAACTTCAACAAAGGGTTGGCATGCTTCTGATTCTCCCAAAGACTTCTTGTTCTTTGTGGACTGGGGTTATTGTTCTTGGTGGTCCAAACAATTTGGTTTTATAATAGGAAATTGAGTAATTAAATTTCCATATATAGAGTACGACTAAAAATCAAGATTTAAGGAAAGCAATGCCTGTTACTGAAACCCAGCTCTATTATGTCATACAAATGATTCATAATTAGCACATCTAAAATTGGGTTTTAAACTGGCCTCCTACAGATGGGCTCAAAAGTTATCAAAAATGCAGGTCTGAGTGTGTGTGCATGCACGCAACCCCATTTCTGGGGAGACATGCTCCTACCACTGACCTAGATGTCCTTGTTACATACCGAGGACTCAGTCCTTTCATTTTGTCTTTTACTTTATTATAGAATTAGAGGCTGACTCAGTACCTTGCACATACTCGGCAGTCATTCCACCACTGATCTATAGCCCCAATGCTGACCCCAAAATTAAAACAAGCAGACAATCCCCAAAACAACAACAAAAGCACTGACCTAAAAGAACTCTAGAAAATATTCATGAAAAGGAACCACACTAATAATAGACACCCCCCCTTCTTTGGGGAAGGTTCTGACTATGTTGTTCTGGCTGGCCTGGAACTCAGTATGTAGATCAGGCTAAACTCCAATTTATGTACCACCATGCCCAGTCTAGATTCATCTTTTTCTCTCAATTAGAAAAGAAGTATAGAAAGATCTCAAACTTACAGAAAGGTACTCCCCCAAATAACACAGATAACTATGATATAGCACTAAGATTAAAAAGGTGTTACCATTGTGACAAAGTTCGGATGTTTCTCTCCTCCAAAGAAAGACATAGCATAGATGAGATTCAGCTAGCCCCCGGCACCGCATCACTTTCCCTCCCCAGAACTATCCCAAAGCTGGCTCATTGTGTACCACAACTGCTTTCAAAGGAGGAAAATGTACACGTCCTAGCCTACCTTGAGGTCTTGATTCTCCTCCATACTCTGATCCAGACGGCTTCGGATTATAATCTGAATATAAGACAAAGATGGCCATGCACTTGCGCTGTTAAATTCATAGACCGATCATTCAATAAACACACATTTACTAGAAACCACTTTCGTACTGTGAATACATGCCCTCTGATACAAGCATAAGCCAAAATGCATGATATAAAACAATATGGATGAAGTTTAGGTAAGTGTGTGTGTCCTGGGAGTTAAGGGAAGAAAAGATGAAGTTGAAAAAGAAAATGGGAGCCAGACTATGAAGGGCCAATGAGGTCAATGGGGGAATTTATATACATACTTTATATATATACATACATACATACATATATATATAATATTGTTTTTAAAAGTATTTCTTTTTATTCTTTTTAATTATGTGTAGTTGTGTGTCTGCCTATGGGTATGTGTGAGTGCAGGAGCCTGGGAGGCCAGAGGTAAAAGATCCCCTACCAGTGCAGGGAGCCACACGACATAGGTCTGGGAACTAACCTCGGGTTAAGTACACTGAGTCATCTCTCCAACCCCATCAGTGAAAATTTTTATACAAAGGGAAGACAAAATAAAATTATCCTTAAATTATTCTTGCAATTTTATTGAGAATGAACTGGAAGAGGTTAGAAGAATCTATATTCAGCAAAACCTGGGAAGGTTGATAGGATATTGGCTAGAGGCCCACACTAAGTAGTAGTTGTGAAAATGAAGACACTGGGTATGAGGGTAGGAGCAGAAAGAATTCAGGGATGATATCCGGGGTCCTCTTCGGGGCATCTGAGTGAATGAGTAGATGCAGGCACACATACAAGGACAAATAGATTCAGGGTTACATAGAGGATAGAAAACCTTAGTTGAGGACCCACTGAAACTGAGGTGTGTGTAGCACCCAATAATGGAGACTGTGTGCTGAAGGCACAACTCTACAACTCTCTAGAGAGAGCTGAGCTCACAGATGGAAATCCATCTGTGAGAAAGGTGAAAACACGGAAGGTGGACGACACTGCCCAATGACGGTGGATGACTGGTCCAGGTGCTGACGCGCATCCGCATCATAACATAGAGAAAAAAAAGTTTCGGGGAACCCGGCCATAAACTGTAGGAGACTAGAGCCTTTGGTAACCTAATACCTTGGATCAGTGTCTGACTTAAAGAGTCAACATTTGCTGGACATCTGTTGATTAAAATCAATGAAGAAACCAGGAAGGAATAATCAAAACTGGTAGGCGAACTCCAGGAGTCAGGAGAGAGTATTTTAAAAAAGTGAGGTCAAGCAATCCAGGCCTAGTATCCAGCCACAAACATGGAGCTCACCAGTTGTTCCTCGGGGTTGACTCCTGGTTCACAGAGGGCCAAGGGTCTCTCCTGTTCATCTTCAGGTAAGGAGCCATTGAGCAGTAAGGCCTGGATAAACCACAAAGGGAGGGAGGGGTTGAACTCCCTGCCACCTGACTCAGGCTAGAGTCAGGCTGGGTGAGTTCACCACAAATGGAAACCACCAGATGACATGACAGGCTTCTGAAGAAAACCAGATGATAACCTCTGCTTATTTCCATCGGCCCCCATCGTGCACAGCTTTTTCTAGAGGTCCCTGTTACAGTTCCCTTCCCCCATTTTAAACATTGTCTCATGTACTCCAGGCTGGCTTAGAACAGCAGAGGATGGCTTTGAACTTCTGGGTCTCCTGTCTCCACCTCTCATGTGCTGGGATTTCAAGAAAGTACCACCATGCCTAGTTTACAAAGTGATGAAGATCAAACCTAGAACTCCATGAAGCTACAAAGGCACTGTACCGGCTGAGCTACACCCTGAGGCCCATGGAGCACAAAGGCCCTGTACCAGCTGAGCTACACCCCAAGGTTCATGGAGCACAAAGGCCCTGTACCAGCTGAGCTACACCCTGAGGACCATGGAGCACTTTCATCTTTCTGGATACACACAGACCCTCTGCTCTGAGCATTTTTTGTCTCAGGAGAACTACTAACAAACCTTCCCTTCTTCAGAAGAGTCCAAACACATTTCCAAATTTCCATCTAGAACTCTTCAAACAAAGCTCTCCCAGCCACCAAACAAAGCTCTCCCAGCCGACTGGGGATCTAAAATCAGTGTGAAATTATCTTGCCTCAGAGAAGTGTATTACAAGGAACTGTTTGAAATCCATTTGAAAACACGGCCTTGGGACTGTTTGCTTCTTGTTTGTTTGTTTTAATAATTCTCATTTTCACCCCCTGAGGCAACATGAATAGAAGAAAGAGAAATCCTTCCAGAGATGGCCTCGCTCATTTCAACCCCAGGCTGTTTTCCATCAGTGCATAGTGAGTACAAAGGGGGCAGAACACCCTGAAGCTCAGGAGCTCAGCACTGGGGCCCTAGGACGCTGCCTCTCCCAATAACCCACACCTAACACGGTATTTATAGTTTGTAGTCTCATGCCTTTCCTTTTACATTTTATTTATGTTGAAATTTGTGTTTATTTTTTATCAGTCGATTGATTGTGATAGGACCTTACTATGTAGTCCTGGCTGGTCTGGAATTCTGTAGGCCAGGCAGGCCTCAAACTCACAGTAATCTATCTACCTCTGCCTCCATGCAACACCTTGCTCTGATAAAATTTACTTTTATTTTTAATGTCTCTGTGTGGGTTTGGGCACGTGAGTTCACTGTCCATGGAGACCAGAAGAGGGTGTTGGATAGCGCAGATATGGAGTTGCAGCCCTTGTCTCACTGGGGTGCTGGGACATGAACTCAAGCCTCTGTAAAAGCAGAGGCTCTTAACCGCTGAGCCGTCTTTCTGTTGTGCACATCTGTGTGTTACGTGTGGGTGCGTGTGAGCCACGGATATGTGGGGAAGTCAGAGGACACCTTTCAGGAGTCAGGTCTCCCCTTCCACCATGTGGGTCCCAGGGATCGAACTCAGATCCCCATGCCTGGCAGCCTATGTCTCTGCCTGCTGACCCATCCCACCAGCCTCACAATCTTATTCTTAAAGCAGCATCCAGGTATACTTTAGAGCCCCCAAATTTAGAGACCTGCCTGCTCAGGTATGCATTGTGAGAGACATCAGATGAGTTAAAGATTGGAAATTCTGTCCTCGTGTTGTCACAGCTTTGTTTCAACTTGAAAGAGATTCAGAGGTTAAATAAAAGCTCTTTAAAAAATATAACACAAATTCATCATACACGGTGATGAAGAATGCTCTAAAATCCAGCCAACAGTTCCTCTACAAAACACTAGTCATGTTTGAGAAAATCAAATGAACTTGGTTTTCCCATGGAGTCATAGTAAGAGGAACGAGTAGGCGGGCACACAGCCCAGGGGCTGCAGGGAATTGCAGGCACTGGGACATCATACACGGGGGGGGGGGGGGGGGGTCATTGCAGAAATATTAACCCCAGTGGTAGACTGAGCAGTAGCCTCTAATCATAGCATACTAATAAGTCACCAATCCTGGATGTGACTTGACATACAACTCGTTCATCATAGAAAGAGTTAAGTGTCCAGGGGATGCTGGGAGCCTTTTGTGCTCCTCAGTGAGACTGGATCCTCATTGTCACCACACAGCAGTGAATTAAAACTCCTCTGCTCGAAGGAGATACTAGGATGTCGCCTTTCTGCCTATCAACTTCCTTCTTTATTTTTCTGTTTCATCAGTCACTGGCTTTCTCCCAAGCTAAGGAATGCAAACCAAGCAGAGCCAACCTGATAGCGACCCATGCTTTCTGCACATAATGCAAATTATTCGGGGAAAAACCTCGTTAGGTAAGATCCCCCAAATTCATAAAAAAAACTTCCCATTAAAACAACAACACATCATTAAAATATTCCTTACTGGAGGGACAGAAAGGAACCCAACAGATTTTTTTTTAATTATTTTAATACAGAGCAAGAAGCAGATACCACAAATTTCTTGGGGAATGTTTAGGAGGACGTAAACATCCCTCCAATTGGTGCGGGTTCCTAGGGCACACATTATGCAAATTGTTTTACCAAAGCACCAATCTCCCTTTTTCATTAGGAACCTTTTGTGTCCCCACCCTGTTGCCGGCTGGCTAGGAGCACGCCCTCCACTGCCTGCCAGAGCCTCGCACATAATGTGGGCTTTGTTTATGTGTCCATAAATATTTCACAATTCAAAACTGGTGCAGTTCCCAGCACAAACAGAACGGAATATTCCTAGCAATTTCAGGGTCTTCAGCACACTACGAGGGCTCCTCCAAACAGAGCCAATCGAATAAGAACAGAGGATCGAGGGGGTCATGGGACGGGCTCTCAGTCATGTGGGTCAGTCGATCTCTGGGGGAGATTCCCCTGACTGATAGCACAGGTATAGGAACAACCGAAGGGCTTTGTTGTTCAAGGAAAACCTCCTAGCAGAGCATTGCCTTGGTATCAGGTGCTGATGCCTTAGGAGGGCGCCACGGCCCCCAGCCAGACTCGAATGGAAACCTGGTGCTAATATTGCCTCTCGCACGGTTCTGCTGCTGAATTCCTGAGAGACAGTCTTGTTCAAAGTTGCAGTTGTGGGTCTGTAAGAGTAGTAAAGATGCCTACCTACAAAACGGGGGCAGTGGGAGCTCCCGAGCTTGCACAAATCCTAACAGCTGGATGGTAAACAAGAGTTCCAAAGTCCACAAGTGTGGGCACCACTCACACACAACTAAAGTAGGTGTTTTTTTTTTCCTTTGCCAATTGATACTACTGATTTAAAAGGAATAATTAGGTAAGGCACCAAGAACAAACTGCAAAGGGAAGAGCTACCTGTAGTCCTGAAATCATTTTCTTTGCTTCCTCCATTTCTTTTTCTAAATGTTCTTGTTGTTCCAATAGCTGTTCTTCCCATGTGGTTTCCAGGTACGTTCCTGGGCTCCCAGGCCTCCAGTCTCGGGATAATGGAGAGTCTGTCTCGTCTGCAAAATGAAAGGTGGGAAGATAGTCCATGTTGAAGAAGAGTGGTTTCCGGCAGCCTGGGCTCAGCGAACCTCACAGCTTCAGGTCACCTGCCTTCTGAACCTGTCTGCACACACAAACTGGACTCTCCACTAGGGGGAGCTGTGAGACACAAAGAACTGGCTGTTAACTGGGGTACCAGGCTCGGGAAAGCACGCGTTCAGTTAGGAAAGTCCACCCTCTTAAGCCTTACCCTGGGAAGCAGCGGGGCTCCAGGCCCTACAGATTTGTTATAGCACACAAAGATCTTACTTCCAGCTCCTTAGAATTCACATTCCCAGAGTCCGATTTATAAGTAATGGAACCGTCAGATGCAAATGAAAACAAAATCCCTTTGGGAACTCTGGAACTTTGGACGGGAGACTGTGGTTCAACCAGCCTGGCTGGTGTTTGCTAACTACACAAACCAGGGGAGAGGAGCCACAACTGAGAAAACACCTCTATCAGACTGCCTGTAGGCACATCTAGAGGGCATTTTCTAATTAACATTGGTGTGGGCGGGCCCAGACCACTGTGGGTGGGGCCACACCTGAGCAGGTAGTCTTTGGATGTCTAAGGAAACAAACTGAGCAAGCCAGTAGGCCACATGTACCTGCTTCAGTTCCTGCCTCCAGGGTCCCACCCTGAGCTCCTGGCTTGGCTTCCCCTCATGGATTGTAACCTCTAAGCAAAACTGACCCTTTTCGCTTTTGGTGTTGACATTTTGTTATATCACAGCAATAGAAACCCAACTAAGACCTATTCCTTTCACCCCATTGAGGCATAACTGAACCCTTTTCACACAGTATCCTGTGATTCACGCTGAAATAAACTTAGTAAAGCATATTCACAAAACTTCACTATTCCTCCCTGGTTTATCTCCTTGTCTTCGAGACCTCTTTGCTCGGGTGTCCCTTATACTAATTGCATGCATCCCCGTTTATGTGCACTACGGAATACAGATGGCTGTGAAGTCTTTGGCAAGCTTCTTAATTCTAAGAGGTGCACAGCAACTCCCTGAGTTGTGGTAAAGATTAAAAGAGGTAAAACATGAAGGACCCAGTAGTATCTGATAGTACAAGTCAACAAATCCTCCTCCTTTCTCTCCACAGCCTTAAGAGATTCTGACTCTGTGGGTGGTTCTTTGTTTTTTGGTTGTTCACACAGGGTCTCACTATGTAGCCCAGGTTGGCCTGGAATTCTCTAGGTAGTCTAGTTGGCCCCAAGTGTGTGATCCACCCGCCCCCATCTCCTGAGTGCTGAGATTACAGATGTGCACCGCCACACCCAGGCTACGACTGACTGGTACAAATGCTTGGTCTTAAGGGGAAGCAGAGTGAAGAAGAGTCTCATTTCAGATTTTCTTTTGTGGGGTTCAGTTTTATTGCAACCTTTATAGATGAGTAGACGTCAAGCTAACACTTGTACTTTGCCTTATCCATGTTTCTTTTCATGCTTAAATGGGGGGACAAATAAGGCAGGCTCAAAAGCTTAAGCAATGAGAACTCTGTGGTCCTTTCTGTAGCCCTTAAACCAAGACCAGTTCCCCGCTGCATGTTCTCATGGGCATTTTGGTTTAAACTATGTATTCCTGGCTCCAACCTAAGTTAATGGAGAACCAAAATCATCTCCACAAAATGGGAATAGTAAAAACTATTTACCCTAATACAGCTTCTGACTGCCCCCAATGTCACTTCCTAATCCGTAGCAGTCAGTCAGGGAGGGCTGCTCTACACTGCCATGAGCTTTTTTGACAGCTCAATACCAGAAAGGACATCATGTACAGCGATGACAACACTAATTGGCTCAAAGGCATTAGAGGCCTCTCGAGCTCGCCCTGACCCTACATGCACAGACTGTGAAAACAGAAACAGCCAGAAACCTTAACGTAGATAGTCAGAAGCTCTGAAGTCTTCACACTAAAAGCCTCCCCCTGAAGCAACCCAGGCAGGCGGGGCAGTGGTACCTGTTCTGTTCTCTATTCCTTCAGAGGGAACAATCACAAAATCGGCCTTTTCCTCTGATTGGGTTATAATGGATTCACTCTTTGCACTGTGGATTGGGCTGGGTGAAGTCAGACTGTGGTCAAACAAAAGAGAAGAGAAACAATTATGAACAGTTATACAGCTGTCAACTTTCACAATTCATCCCAGAGATATCTTATTCATACCACGCCTAACGTGATGCTCACAATTAGAACAAATGTTTGTTGAACAAATGAAAGAAATGTGGAAGGAATAAGTGAAAGAAACCTAGTCCTAGGGATTATTTTGCTTTTTAATGGTTATTTATTTATTTTACATTTTAATTATGTGTATGTGCCTCTGTCTCTGTGTGGGGGTGGGGTATTTGTAAATCAGATACCCACAGAAACCAGGAGAGGATGTTGAGTTCCCTGGACCTGGAGATACAGGCAGTTGTGCGCTGTTCTAGGTGGGTGCTGGGAACTGAACTTGGATCCTCTAAAGAGCAAGGAGCACTCTTTACCACTGAGCTATCTCTCCAACACCCCAGGGAGTTCATTCTACAATAAGACTGCCTTTAAGCACAACTGATTGAAATGAGAGTTAATAGAATAGTCAATAAGCCATTTTTTTAAAAAAAAAACTGTTTTGTTTTGTTGTGTGGGTTCTCTTTCTTTCTTTTTTTTTGGTTGTTGCTGTTGTTGCTTCTTGTTTTTTGTTTGTTTGTTTGTTTTGTGGTATTCACCACTATCAATTCCTAGGCTCATATTCAGAGGGTGATGGTTGTGTTTCATTAACTTTTGGAGTTGGATCAAAATCATATTTTCAAAAATCTGACTCTCCCACAAGCGACCAGAGGTCAGCTCTAAGTGATACCCAAAAGAGGAGTCATGGCAGAAGACAGTTTAGGGGTGGAAACTGCTCATGTGGTTGCAATGCCAGGATGGGCAGAGGGGCAGTAATTTATCAGCAGGTGATCCAGAATATGATAAGAAGAGGGGGCTGGAAAGGTGGCTTGCTGGGTAAGAGCAATGACTGCTTTTGCAAAGGGCCCGGGTTCAGTCCAGCACTAACACAGTGGTTCACACCCCTCTGCAACTCCAGTTCCAGGGGGTCTGACACCCTTTTCTGACCTCCACAGGCACCAGGCATGTATGTGGTGCAGACATATAATGCAGACAAAGAAACTCATACACATAAAATAAAAATAAATCTTTAAAACAGTAAGAGTGGTGGGGCAAAAGGAGAAAAACATGCTAGTGGCAGCTGGATCAAAATTTACTTGATTAGCTCTTTCTTAGTGAAGAATTACTATTATTTTTATTGTTATTTGCCATAGTTTCATATTCTCAAGTTATTTTTGAGATACCTTTCAATAATTTCTGTGTCCTGATGTAGCTATGAGAGGAACTGTTCAGGTTTTCAGGGAAGCAGATTTTAAATCTTCCCCTGGACCAGACAAGATGGGAATGTGAGGGTAATACTTCTATCATATAAGGACAGAAGAGTCTGGAGAGCTCTTTCTCTCCACGCTGCACTATGAGAACATCAGCACCAACACAATCTCAGGGGCTGCGGAGTCTATGGCTCAACCCCCTCTTGGGAATTCTTTCCAAATCTATCACCCAGACAACAGGGAAAGTGTCTAGGATTCACTGACCCCCTTAATGTGCCCCTGAAGTCTCCCAGGCTAATCCTTACGACCACAAGCAGGAGTTAACAATTTCCTCTTCCCACAAACCAGAGAAAACACTAGAAACAATCGCAGTGGAAATGGCAGATTTCAGAACCATGGACTAGTGTCTCCCCACGGTCCACAGTCCAAGAACTTTGGTGGAAATGATCTCAATTAGTACTATGTCTTCATCTTTCTTACAATCTGATTTTTTTTTTAACATCTAGAGGTGTATAGATCAAGCGGGTGAGAGAAGTGAGGGGTAGCAGGTACTACTCAGCAATGTTGAGTGTTTTCTTAGCCATTTTCACTAAGTAGGTAATCTGACCTTCAGGCCAACGTGAGTTCACAGCTGTGGGGAAGGCTCTCATGTAAAGGGGCTGTGTCGCTAATAAGGAGAGATTTATGAGTGCCCAGGCTCCAGCATTTACTTCTTACAAAACCGGGAATCCGGATGCACAAAGCCCTTGTCAGCTGCCCCTCCTTCTCCAGTTGACAAGGTACTATGGATAACAAGCATCTGGCTGGACGGCAGGAGGGATGTGTGAGACAGATCAGAGAGAGGGAGGGAGTAATGGGGGATCTCGGATGCTGAGAAAAGGCTTTCCTAAAAGCACAGACGCATGCTCAGTTCCACCTCTCTCGCCAAGTAAGTTGCCTCCCATATATGGGCAGAAGGAGGCGGATGTCTGGTTATCCAACCCCACCGGGGGAGTGGCAAGGCAGGCAAAGGAAAACAACATTTCTTTTTCTTGAAATGAGACTGCCTGGATAAGGCCACGGAGGTAAGACCAGGAAGCTAGACAGCCAAGATCTAGAACCTGGAGGGAGGAGAATCCTGGGGCATGTGTCAGAGCAGTAAGACACCCCCGCACCCCCAGAAGAGGTGCTTTAAATCCTCGGCCTCAGGTCAGAGAAAAGTATCTTCATGCTAATTAATTAATTGTAAGACGTGGGCTCCTCCCTAACTAGCTTAAAAGTCATACTTGACAAACAATCCCTACTTATCATCATAACCCTCTCTGAGGTCAGAGAACTGTTGATTACAAATAGGTCCTATCCATGCATTTCTTAATCTAGTATTCACCCATATTAATTTATCGTACCAACAAACCCCAGCAAAGATACCGCCAAATTAGACACACTAATTTTTTAAATGTATAGTAGACGAAAAGGTAAGAGTCCCATCGCCCCAAAGTCGGCTCCAAATTCCTCAGATAACTCTATTTTGTAGTGTTAATCCCAGACCAGCAGCTTGCTCTTACTGAATAGCACCCCCAATCATTTCTTGTCCCCAGTCAACCATGTCCCCCGGTCCTGGCTCTGCTTCCCCTCGTATTCGCACCTCACTAGCCAAAGTGGCTTAAGCTCACCATTTGACTTGTGTCCCTCCCATGGTCCCCTCCTGGCTCCGGCTTCAGCAAGCCTGCTTCCCTGGATGAGGTGGGAGGTTGAGAGTCACATTGCTCCTAAATTCTGGCATGTCCCTCCCGTTCGGGGGCTCGAAGAACGACTCCAGAGATCAGTCAGCCAGCGGAACGATTCGCTCGGGTCTCCGAAGAAAGTAGGATGGGCAGAGGTGGGCGCCTTGGCCCCGGGGACAGGGATGCTCCCTGGGGTGAAGTGCGCTGTCCCAGAAGCTCAGACTCCGCCGCAGCCCAGCCTCGGCGGAAGCTTCCTCCCATCGCCAGCGGCTATTCGCTGGCAGCTGCATCCCGGTCCCTGCAGCCGCGCGGCTCCGAGCATTCCCCCGGGCAGCGGCATCTCAACCCATCTCCCTCAGGGCGAGAGGCTCTGGTGGCTCCTGCCGAGCGTCGAGTGGAGTCCGGTGTGATGTGCTCCTGCTCGGCGCCGCCTCCTGATCCCTCCCTTCCCGTTCCCCCCTTGTTCCCCCCTCCCCCCTTTCCAGGCTGTCACACGCGGCCAGGCTTCGACCCAAGCACAGCCGACGGCACTGGGCAGAGAGGTAGGGGTAACGACCGAAGCCGGGGCCAAGGGCGCGGTCCGGAACTGGCTGGACCGAGGGTGACCAGAGCTCGGGGAGCAGCGGGGGATGGGCAGCGCAGTGGCAAAACCGCGTGGATCTTATGGTCCTGGTGCCGAGAAGGCAGCAGAGAAGACGTTGCTGCACCTCTCTTACCCCTCCCTCCTTGGACACGCCGGTTTGAGACTGATCTAATCTCCAGAAGCTCGCTCGCTCTCTGTAGAATGGGAGACGCAGGCAGGATAGAAACTGGAGCTACCCTCACCCTCAGCAAACCAGCAGTATGCCCTCCCGTCTGCTGCTCCCACCTTCCCTCCCCTCTAGCGGTTTGTATGTCCGTCTGTCCGTCCGTACCCCCTCCCCCAAAGGATCGTTCTGCTTAGGTACAGTGAGAATTTAGCCTGTCTACTGGAGCAACAGGAGGGTAGAGCTTTGTTTTGCGAGGGCATCCCTGAGAAGCAGCGGGGGTGGGGGTAGGGAGCAGCAGGGGAAGACACCGTGGATGTCTATCCTATTTGAAGCTCTACCCCACCCAAAGCTGCAACGTCTACAAGATTGCTGGTTCTTTCAGGGGTCACAGGGTCAACAGGTGCCCAAATGGAAGTGGACAAATGGCAGAACCTGCTAGAAGCCCTCTCCTTTCCTGAGGGGTCAGTGAAGAAATTGGCAGAATGCTGACCCTATCCCTAAGAACACAGCACAGTCAGGAAGAAGAGGACAACAGAGGGAACGTAATCTTCTTTGACACATCTCCTAGGGCTGCCATTAGCCCAACACAGCCTGATATCTAGCGGCCCCCATACTGATCTCACACCTCCAGCCGCAGTCTGAGTCTTGCCTGGAGGAAGGAAGCAGCCACCCTTAGGGACTCAAGCTCTCTTCCCTTCTCCTTCTAATTCACAGGCACACTAAGGCTCCGGAGAGCCAAAGGCCAGCAGAGATGCAGGAAGCAATAGGCCTCATTAGACAACAGAACAGCCTTTGATACTGGAAAAAGCCAAAGATAGTCCCCACCAGGAGCAAAAAAAAAAAAAAAAAAAAAAAAAAAAGCAGTGGTTTTGAGTCTCATTAAAAGCACACCTACTGCTTGCTTCACGGGCGAGTTTCTCTGGGGGCTGGTCAAAATGTCTTCTAAGTGGATAGAGATGAGGCTTACACAGACTTGTAAAGGTAGTACATTGAACACTTTGAAATGTTTAATGGTGAAATGTTTGTTAGAGACCCGTGTCAGAAATAGAAACTACCCCCATTATATGTAAACATTTCAAGGTTGAGCTAGGTTAGCGGTATATTAAGTTGATGGAAAGAGGTCCACAGGACCTCCATAAATGAGAAAATGGTCTGTCAAAATAGGATGGGATTGTATGAGGAAAAGAAACAGGAGGAAGAAAAAAAACGATGGAAAATACACACAAGGCACAATTAAATTTAAATAGATCAGACTATGCTGGGTTGGTGTAGGAGGGAAAAGATCATTAGAGGATACGCTCAATATAATTTAGCAACAAAATCAAGTTAGCAAGTAGGCTGGAGATGTATTTATTGGGGCATAATCTCCATGAGCCAGGAGAGTAATCCTTTTCTGCCACTATACTTGGCATTGGTCAAGCCTTTATTAAAGCAGACTGTCCTGTTCTGATCCCTGCCCTTGGCTCTAAGGGAAACAGAATGCCTCTTTACCAGAGTCACAAACACCCATATCCCACCTCAATGCATACTAATGTGCCCCAGTTCACAGTGTTATAAATGAGTGTGGAAACGCTCATGCGTCAGACAGTCCTGCACATTCTCCTATCTTGCCAGGAGCTTTCCCCAGCCTTCTGTGGCTATCACTGAAGAATCAGACTCAGCCTGCAGGACGGTGCCCAGGAACTGACTTTCATAAACACTAGCAGCTGACAGCACAAACACTGGGTTGGACTGAACTCTGAAGGTCCCAGCCACACCCCATGTGGCCAGAGCTAACTATTGCCACTGGGACGCTGCAGTTTCAATATGTGGGAAATTCACCAGCATTGTAGCCCACTCTTCTGTCAATACCAAACTCACAGGCCGTTTGGCATTCAACTAGTCCTTGAATGCCAAAGATAACTGAGGGAAGCAAAAGAGGTTAGGTGCTCTTGGTTTTTCAACACTAGGGTCTGAACCCAGGGCCTCCGGCAAGACAAGCCCTCTAGCAGTCTTTGGGGAGCTGAAGAAGCCGTGACTGAATAAGTCAACCGTAGATGAAGACCTGAGCGAATGTGTACTGACATTGGTGCTGTCAGGTCAAGGCCAATGCCTCAGACCCATGGGAAACTGGCAAGGTCTTCCTCAGAGTGGTCGGGCTCAGAGCTGGTAAAGGCTTCCTCTGGTCTGAGTGTACAAGTATGAGTGTTCACAAATGGTTGACCAGCCTGTGCCAAACTGTCGGCTCCTGGGTGTTGGATGAATATAGCCCAGACTGTTCACTTAGAGACCTACCAAGACTAGCTAACTTCTCCCCTCTGTGAGGTACCTAATAAATACCGCAAGGTTCGCACATCCCAATGGACCCCATGTTTTTGATGTCTGTGAGTCATTTCTTCAATGCCTGCCCTTTCTTTGCTCCCTCGCTACCCCAGTCAGGTTTCCAGACCCAAGCCTGGCAGGGTATGGTACTCAACCCCATGGGTGCCTTCGTGCTTTTGGTCTTGCTACTGAGGCTAAGACTCCCCCAGAGAGCAGCTTTCTCCCGAGACTGGAGAGGTAAAGATGGCAAGGCCACACGCACCTGGAGCAGCTAGACTCAGATGGGGACCGCTGCTGTCCTTCATACTGCTGCACAAGTGCTCGAACGCTCCAGTACGGGTTCTCAATCTCTTCGTCCATGCTGCTGTTCCTGAAAAGCAGGGGTGGGAGAGGACCAGAGAAGACAGTTTTAGGCCTGCAGTTCAGGTCAGCTCTGCAAGAGGAGATATCCTGCCTCTCAGTGTGCACTCCAGGAAAGAAGATGAATATGGCACCTGGGCAGCCTAACACACACCTGTCATTCCAGTGCTCAGGAGGCAGAGACAGGAGGATCAGGGGTTTGAGACCAGCTTGGGCTACATAGATAGCAAGATCCTGTACACACACACACACACACACACACAAATACACACATTTAAGAGGTGAACAAAGTAAAACTCCTTCTAAGGCACTTAAAACCTAGCAGGGAAGGCAAACACAAAGACAAATAATTTTGCCCACTCTGTGACACCTTGGGTCATGTTCGCCTTTAGCAACCACACAACCCTCAAAACACTTCCTGCCATGAAATTTCAAGACAGATTGGTCTTGTGGATACATTCCAGGATGCAGCCTCCTCCAGATGGACTACATATCCCCCAGTGAAGAAAAAACTGTGCCAACCACATATATTTAAATTTTGGGCATGAGAGCAAACTTACACACATGGTTACTTACATTCTGCTAGCTGCAAAGTAAACATCTCGAAAGAAAAGGCTTAGCCTGGCTTAGCTGAGCTGATAATTCGGCTATTTGGAAGCTAAGACAGCAGGAGCACAAGTTCAGTGCCTGTCTGGACTTCAAAATGAGTTCAAGGCCAGACTGGGCAACATAAGACCCCCTCTCAAAATAAGACACAAAAGCCTCAGGGTATAGCTCAGTAGCAGCAGAGCTCCAGGTTCACTACCCAGTACCATCCAAAAATGACCAAGCTTTTCCCACTAGGATTTCCTTCCCAAACATCCGCTCTATTCTGTGATCGCTTTGGCAGTGTGGGTCTGCTTGGTCGATATGTCCATCTACTTGCACTGTTATTATCTAAGCAAAGAAATACCAGAGAGAGGGGCCAGTTCCCCTCCCAGGTTTTTACCTCTGTCTATACCGGAAGACATCCCGTCCTGACCGAGACATGTCACGGCACACATCAGCCAGAGCAGCAGCTGCTCCCTGGGCCACAGCCGTCGCACAGTGTGGTTGATGACTCTGTGCAGGGACTCTGGAGTCGCGCCCCTGGCTCACCGTCCTGCTCGAGCCAGGTTTAAAATGAGCTGCCAAGGCAAGGACCAGCCTCATGATGGACTTCAGGTTTCCTTCCACAATATCTAAAGGACGAGACAGATGGAAAGGTATTGAGAGGGAGGCAGAGACCATGGATTGATGCATGTACTATATATTGCTGGTGATACAGTAAACTCAGCAGGCGGTCTCCGTTTTCATAACACCATGTTCAACAAGGGACACGGAAGGTTAAAGGCAATTACCATAAAGTATGATAATAAAATAATTAGGCAAGAGAGGTACGGGGTCTTCAGCAATTCGTGGAGAGATAATATAATCCTGGAGTTCTGAAGGATGTTTTATCAGGGGAAGTGAGTCCTCAGTTAAGAATGGAGTGCTGCTTCTTAGCTAATAGGGTAGAAGGGATAGGAACAATTCAGGAAAAGGTACATGCCAAGGTCTAGAGATCAGTATAACGGGGTGATATCATCTGTTAGGGGAGCTGCAGGCCACAGGCGACTACTGAGCACTTAAATGTCACGGCCACGAATTGGAATATGTTCTAAGCAAGTACAGTAACTAAGAGTTAAGTAAATACCTCACACACACATGGGAATGCAAAAGATCTCAGACAGCATAAAAAAGAGCATGCAGGGCTAGAGAGATGGCTCGGTGGTGACGAGCACTGGGTACTCTTCTAGAAGACCCAGGTTTGATTCCCAGCACCCACATGGCAGTTCACAACCATCTGTAAGCCCAGTACCGGGGGATCTGATGCCTTCTTCTAGTCTCTGAGAACATCAGGTATACACATGGTGTACAGATATACATGCAGGTAAAAATTCCTATACATATAGTAAATAAATAAAAGCAAAATGTAAACTATCTCAGTAATGTTTAATATTGACTTCATGGTAAAGTAATCATATTACAGAAATAATGGGTTACATAAAATATATTATTAAAATTTTCAGTCCTTCCTGCTCCTATTGTGGCTTTAGGAAACTTTTTAAGTACTTATGTGACATGATCCAGCACTGTGGTGGAGAAAGTGAAAAAGCTCAGGATGGCCAGAGCCCCAGAGCCAGAAGAAGGGAAGGGTGTAGAAGGGGAGGAACCAGAGGTCACACAGGCCCAGGTGGGCTGTAGGAAAGATGCCAGATTTCAGCGAGGCCTTCAGATGCGCAGCAGTGGTACAGTGATGTGTGCTCTTAGCTCACCCCTGCTGTGGCGTGGAAAGCTGGACCGAGAGGGAAATCGATGCAGTAGACTAATCAGGAAACATGAGCTTCTTCAGGTGAAAGACAATGAATGGCAGTGGTCCCTTAAAATAGCCTATTTTACTGGGCCAGACCCCCAAGCCCACTCCACATGAGGAGCAGACCAAAGCCAGAACTGCACTCTAAATTCTGCCCTAGAAAAAAAGAGGAAAGAAATCCATGCACACACACACGGGGGGGGGGGGGGGGCATATTGTGAAAGCTCTGGTTAAAGGGAATACAAGGAAACGGTTACAATTCCATTGTTTGGCTTTGTAGCCTTTCCAATGTACAAAGCATGCCGAGGACTATTTGATGTCCTCTACCAAATGCTCTTAATGGTCACTATTTGCTCACCTGGGTAACTTCAAACACACAGAACACCAATAATCCAACATGAAAGGGTTCCTCCCGCCCTCATTCTCAGCAAAAGTACAGGCAACAGACCCAGAAACTGGTGCTGAAACAGACCAGAACTGGTCACTTCCAGAAAAGCATCAAAAGGAGAAGGGAGCATATGCTTTCGGAGGAACCCTACGTGGCACCTTTCTTACAGCATGGGCAAAGGGTTATGCCACTCCAGAAGACTACATATAAACACTGCAGGGCCCCCTTTGTCTGCCTGGAATGTTCTCACAGCCAAAAGAAAAAAGAAGAAAGAAATGCTATAAAATATTTTCCCTTTAACCTGAGTGTGGCACACATCTCTCTGATTTCATAACTTAAGATACAGAGACAGGAGAAATACCTAATTTCAGGAAAGCCTAGGATACAGCAAATTTTAGACCGGCCAGGGCTACACGATGAGACCCTGTCTCAAAAATACATATATTAGCCGGGCGGTGGTGGCGCACGCCTTTAATCCCAGCACTCGGAAGGCAGACGCAGGCGGATCTCTGTGAGTTCGAGACCAGCCTGATCTACAAGAGCTAGTTCCAGGACAGGCTCCAAAACCACAGAGAAACCCTGTCTCGTAAAACAAAACAAAACAAAACAAAAAAACAAAAAAAAAACCCATATATTGAGGCTGGGCGGTGTTAGAGACGTGTCTCAGTTAATCCAGCGCTTGCCTAACATTAACAAAGCCCTGGGTTCAGTCTCCAGCTCCACATAAAGCTGGGGGATGGTGCCGCTTTGTAATATGACTACAGAGGAGGTAGAAGCTAGAGCATCAGAAGTTCAAGGTCATCCTTGGCTACTTGGAAGTTTCAAGATCAGCCTGGGCTACATAAGATCCTGTCGAAGGAAATAAAGGAAAGGAGGAAAGGAAAGAAAAATAATGAAATGAAAAAGTTTCTTCTAGGAAATTGAATGGAAAAGCATAAGTTATGAGGGTTTGTAATAGTACTCGATCATAAAACCCAAAGATCTCAGAAAACACAATCCATCTTCATATGTGAAAATTTAAACGAGACATTCCAAAATTAATATCTCAATTTTGTCATTTATTCTTGTATCATTAATTTTCTCACACACACTCAAGCATATCTATATTCAATTCAAATTAATAGAGCGCTATCACCTCCAACCAGGTCTCTGGAGCACTGGGATTTCAGTACTCGATCACTGTCTTCTAAGGGGTCACCTGTCTTCATGGAACAAGGACATAAAACCATGAGCTTAATCCTACTCCAGTCTGCTCAGAGCCGCTGCCCACATGGCCAAGGGAGTCTGTCAAACTGGCTAGCACCACTAAAGGTTAAGTGCTCCGTTCCCGAGGATGAAGTACTGACTAACCTTTAGCTGAAGTCTGATGCATGCGAATCTTTTTGGAAGCTACAAACTGTAGCACTCTCTCCACGTTATCCTTCATCTCTTGTTGGTTACTGGGACTCAACTGTACACCACTCAGTTTTTCTCCTGCTGTTAGGAGAGGGGAAACAAAACAGTAGCACATAAAGTCAGAAGAACATTATCAAAGTTTCATAGCAGCCAGGCGCAAACAAGGGAGGGGATACAAACACTAAAAGTCTCCATAAACAAAGGAGTGAGTTAAGTCCTAGTGTATGCACCAGGGGAAGTGGTTGGAGAAAAATGAAAAACTTTCAGAACGCTTCAGTCTTTCAGGTATAAACACACAGTCCTGTGAAGTTATTGTGTGTACATTTACTAATTCAACAAATATTCACGCTGTGTGCCAAACACTGTTCTGGGTACAACAGAGATCAGGGAACAAGGTAAACAAGAGTCTTCCCTCTTAGTTTAACTACAATATAACAAGTTACATTTAATATAATTTAAGGTAAAAATAAAAACAGAAAAGAATAGTGATCATGGCCTTTCTAATAATACAGTCTTGAAAAGTCTGAATAAGAAATATTTATATTTAGGAAAGTATGGTGGTTTGAGAGAAAATGGCCCCCAAAGGGAGTGGCACTATTAGGAGGTGTAGCCTTGTTGGAAGTAGTATGTCACTGTGGTTTTGAGGTCTCATGTATGCTCAAGCCACATCAGGTTCTCAGAATATTTCCTGTTGCCTGTAAGTCAAGATGAAAGAACTCTCAGCTCCAGCTCTAGCAGCATGTCTGCCTGCATGCTGCCTTGCTCTCCGACGTGATGATAATGGACGAAACCTCTGAACCATAAGTGATCCATCACAATTAAATGTTTTCCTTTTGAAGAGTTGCCATGGTTCCTGGTGTCTCTTCACAGCAACAAAAACCCTAACTAACTAAGACAGAAGGGCACATGCCAGGCTGAAGAGCCATACAAACCCCAACATGGGATTAGCTCAGCCTATCTGAGGGGCAAAAAGAGCAGTGTGGCTAGCTAGGCACGTAGTACATGCCTACAATCTCAGAAGTTGGGAGGCTGAGACATGAGGATCAGGAATTATCATCAGATTCATTGAAGTTAGCCATGGCTACAAAGCAAGTACTGGGCCAGCCTGCGTGACATCAGACCTTGTCTGAAAAAGAAAAGACCAGTGTGGCTAGAGTGGAGTTATCAGAGTCAAGACCCAGGAAAGGGCACCAAGCTAAGCAAGGCCAGTCACACAGGGCCTTGGGGACCCACAGGGACGACCCTGGATTTTATTCCAAGGGTAATGAAAAGCCAGTGGGGACTTTCAGACCGGATGGGGACATTAACTAGTTTGTGATTGTTTTCCAAAGTTGACTGTGTGTATATATAGATCATGAGTGGGGGATGAAACAGAGAGATTAGTTAGAAAGAGAGTCTAAATATTCAAGGCAAGCGATAAGGATGGGAAGGGTTAAAGTGGAAGAGAATGGCTGGCCAGAAGTCAGACACTGAGTATATTTTGAGTACAAAGCAGAAAGTACATGTTAAGAACTGGCTGTGGTTCAGGAGGGAAAGAAAATACTTAGGAATGACTTCTAAGATTTCTCCTTAGCAAGTGAGAGGATGACTTGAAGTGTTCCTTGACGAAGATGGAAGGTGGGGATGGGCAAGGATGGTAAAGGGCTTGGTGTGGACAAAGAAATACAAAGTTCTGGTTAGCTGCATCTAAGACATTCAAACTGTGGTGATCAGGACACTGTCTATGCAGGTCCAGAACTCAGTGAAAAACTGAAGCCTAATATACAAAATTAGGGAGAAGCCATGAGGTTTTCTCTTTTTGTTATGTACGTCTGAGTGTATATGAGGTATGTGGTGTGTGCACACATGCATGTGCATGGATGCACACATGGAAGAAGCTGGCATCTGCTCTGTCACTATATACTTCATTCCCTTAAAACAGCTTTTGGTTTTGTTTTTCCTGAACTTGGAGCAAGGGTGGTGGTCAGCAAGCCCCAGTGATCCTCCTGTCTTCATCCCCCACAGCTGGAGTTATAGATGCATTTGTGACCATGAATGGCTTTTTAAACATGGGTACTGGGGATTCAAACTCTAACCCTCATGCTTGCACATGAAGCATCACTGAACCAGCTCCTTGGCCCCTTGAGGTTATTTCAGGCTGGGGATAGACCTTAGTTGTAGAGTGCTTGCCTAGCATATTCAAGGCCCAGTTCAATTTGCAGAAACACACACACACACACACATACACACACACACACATATGAAAAGACAGTGTTTTGAAATCTGGATTTGGGGGAAACAAAAAGACATTAATACTGCTTCCCAGGTTTATAACATCTCTGGAAACAACACCGGTTATGCCACGAACGGAGGATGAGTAACTGATGGCCAACACCGATGCTCAACTTCACAGGGTATAAATCACCTAGGAAACAGGTCTCTCCGTTGAGGAACTATTTACCTTGGGTTAGCCTCTCTGGCCACACCTGTGAGAGAGTGTTTTAATTAAGTAAGTTAAGGTGGGAAGAACCCAAAAAGATGGGCAGCACCATTCCCTGGGCGTGGATCCTGGACTCGGGGACAGGAGAAAGTGAGCCAAGCACCAGCACTCGCTGCTCAGTCCTCTGGGTGTGGCTGCAACCTGACCGACTGCCGCGAACCCCTGCTACCACTCTTCCCACTCTGCTGGACTTCTCCTCAAACTGTGAGCCAAAGCAAACCCTCCTTCTTTAAGCTGCTTTGTGTCACAGAAAACAAAAGTACTGATACAGTTTCTGTTGAAGGAATACAGGTAGAAGAGCTTTCGTTTTTACCCTTTTGTGCCTATAGGTCCTGCTAGTCCACATGTAATCTATTTAAATAAGGGGAAAAGAAAATGCTTAAAATGGATTTGGGGATTTTTTTTTAATTTTTAGTGCATGCATGTGTGCATGCATGAGTGTGCGTGCATGCATGCTCATGCATGCATGTGTGTGTATGTGTACATAGAAGTGCTGATGACCTTGGAGTCCAGAAGAGAGATGCCTTGGAGCTGTAATTACATAAGTCTGTGAGCCACCCTACTTGGTTGATCTGCAAAATCAGTATATATACTTTTAATATCTGAGTCATTTCCCTAGTCAGGTCTTTGGAATTAAAATAGAACTAGGTTTGCACCTTTACCTGAATACTTCAGTATTTATGAACTTGCGAAGTGGCTGAGCCTTGTAAACCTCATCAGTAAAATAATATAGGTTTATCCTCCATAATCTAAAACTTTGAACTTACAAATGCTCCAAAATCTGAAACATTATTATTATTTTATGTATATGGGCATGTTCAAGTATGCCTATGTACTGTGTGCATGTCTGGTACCCAGGGAGGCCAGAAGAGGGCATCAGATTCCCTGGAACTGGAGTTAGAGATGTCACCATGGAGTTATATAGTCACCATGCTGAGTTCCAGTGGACCATGGGGCTCAAACCCAGGTCCTCTGGAAGAGCAGCCAGTGATCTTGACTGCTGAGCCAGCTCTCCAGTTAAAAAATCTGAAATGTTTTAAGCATCATTCTAGTGCTCAAAAAATTCTGATTTGGGGACATTTTCAGACTACGGACTTTCCATAATTTTTAGCTGTAAGTGCTCAACTCTCTCTCTTTACTTTTTTTTAATCCAATAGTTGAAGCATTTTTGGTACCAAGCATTTTGGATGAGGAGTACTCCCTTAATTCAACCGTATTACACAAAGAAATCAAAAGAGCATATTTTTTTTACATATACTAAGTACCTATTAATTAATTAATTTTTATAGATGGTCCCTTTCATTTCCTGGAAACAGAAGTAATAATATCTGTTTCCTAAGGGTGTGGTGGTCAAATAAGCTCACAAAATAGCAAGCATGCCACCAACCAGCGGCAATTACCCGTGCCACTGTTCCACTTATTACAAATGATTAGTCAATCGTGAGCTGTCTCCAAAAAAAGTACTCACAGATAGTCAGATAGGCTGCCTGTTACAAACCAGCTTCTTCCACACCACATACCTCCAGGACACCCAGCAATATCAATTGGTCAGTAATAAATGTTTGAGAACTGATTACATGCATTTGGCTGGGGTTTGTGGAACCATAAGGGCAAAGTATAGAGCATCATTCTCTTCAAGAGCTCGGTCTATGGAATACCTGATTGTCAGTCAGTGAGAGAAATCATAGCGGAGCAATGGAAAACACTTTGGACATACAAGACCCTAATAAGAAGAGAGCCTGAAGTTAGAGGAAAACCCTTCTGTGAAAACACATGGGTCTAAGTGTCACACACAGAAGAGAGTCCTATTGTTGGTGACATTTTCTCTTTTGGCCTGAATGCTATTCCCTTTTCTGTTTTTTGTTTGTTTTGTTTTTCCTTTGTGTGTCTTTGTGTGTGTGCATGCATGAGTGTTTTGTCTGCATGTTTATTTGTGCAGGAAAAAAAGTACTGGTTCTTTTGGCACTAGAGTTATAGATGGTTGTGAGCTGCCTCACAGGTGCTAGGAATGGAACCAGGTCCTCTGCAAGAGCAGCCAGTACACTCGACCATTGAGCCAACTCTCCAGGCTTCCCACTGTGCTTTTAACTTAGACTGCAGTTCTTCTGGAAGCCTGGAAGCCCTCCTCCTCTGTTTGACATGGATTCTTCTGCTCTACCATTCCTGAACCCCTAGGACTAAGGGAGGGTGATTCTTCTATGTACCCTCCTCTGCATGTACCCCCATCAGGATGCTAACATAGTAGTAAGACGGATCTCACTTTTCAGTCTTTCCAACTAGACTGGGAGCCTCTGAGGGCACTGGCAGGGCCAACATCTCCTCATATAATACAGTGCCTAGCACAGTGTTTATTGACCGGATGTAAATTAACCTTGGGCAAATATTTTAGGTCTTCCCAACTCCATTGCCATGAATGCGAACAACCTGCTTGAAGGGAGCATGGAGGAGAAAGAAGTCAGATTCTTGTCTACACTAGCATCAAAGTCCAAGGCCAACTGACCAACAATCTCGATGAGATAGGCCAGGATCACTCCATCTCGGAGATCCTGTCGCAGGTCCTGCACAGGCTTCACGGATGGCCTCTTCTTCAGCTGGGCATTCACCCAGGCCACATAGGCCTGCAGCTGTTGCTGGAAAATAAAAGGCGGAGATAAGGGAAAGATGGCATAGCAGTCTCATCCCCTATCCTGTCCCTGTAAGGCAGCATGAGAGGGTGAGGGACAGAGGGGAAGCTATATCAGGAAGGAGAAAAGGGTTTTAAGATATCCCAGAGCACATTCTAAAATCTTTAGCTTTAAGCTAACACCTAGGGATAAAGTAATCTCAGACTAATTCAGCACTGCAGCCACAGATAAAGAGACACACGCTTCCAGGGGTCACTCCCACTTTCCACACTCTGTTGAGAGGGATCAAGGCTGAGTCCAGGGCGCCAGCCAGAATTCAGGTACCATGATTGCTGCCAGCAACCCACCACACTTTGCAGTTATAGTTCCTCGTGTACTTTATGCACAATGGACCGTGACACTCCCACGAACTGATCTTGTGGAACCAGACACGAACCAGGACCCAAGCACAGTGCTGCCTCCCACAGCTGCTTTCCTTAGCATGAGATGTGGGTGTGGTCATCTCACACTCGACGGAAGATTTACCCTCCTGATCCCATAATCCTAGGATTGCTAGAGAGTTAGTTTTAATCTGTGTTTTATATTGTCAAAGAGGGTCTGGTTACATAAGATTGATGCGGGGAAGGAAAAGAAAGCCACCAAGTGGACTGTGATTCTGAGGACTGAAAAGCATTTTCCTTTACTTCACAGAAAGTTGGGGCCCTGTGCTGCCAGGAACCAAGAAGGTTTCTAGGTTGAGACATTTAGGGAACTCATTCCATCTTGCAGACAACCCTACACATTCCATTTTCCTTTAAAGCACAATTTGTATTCTGATGCTTATTGTCACCACCTAGTCAGAAGATAGACATTGTTATCTCAAAAGCACACAAAAAACATAACAGTCTGGAAGGCAGATGTTTCATTTCTGTAACAGCCCAAGATCCTGAACCTCAAAATTAAGTTCAAGGGCTAATTATATCAAATCATAATTTGGTTAAAGTACAGTTGATTTCTAAGTCACAAGCATTTCCTGGGTGAAAGGAAGCTGAAAATTACTAAAGGAAGCCAGAAATTACTTACTGGCTGCTTTCCTGGGCTCAGATGAAATCTGCCTTAGTTTCTTTGCTGATTTTTGGAAATCGCCATTGTAAGGCAGTGCTAAAGCGATAATCCATCAGCTACTTAAGCTATCGGACCGGTAATGACCAGAAGGAATTGGCAGGAGGGAGCTAACATTTATTGAGAGCCTGCACAAACTGAACACCATTTCTGGTGCTTGTCTTGTTTTTGTGGCACAAATGATTGAACCCAAGGACTGGTGTGTGCTAGCAAGTGATCTCCCCTTGAGCAATATCTTCAGCCCTGTTTCTGGTATTCTATTTTAATTACTGCTTCTGGTGTTCTGGTTTAAAGACTCAATGAATGTATCTGGCCTAGGGTCTGACACAAAATTGATGCTTACCAAAGGGTTGATTGCTTTTACATTTTATTTATTTTGTGTGTGTGCTTTTGCACACTACATGGTACAAGCGTGACGGTCAGAAGATAGCTATTAAGAGTCGGTTCTCTCCTCCCATCTTGCAGGTCTCGGGGACTGAACTTAGGATGTCAGGCTTGCACATTGAGCCATCTTGCCAATCGTGGCCATTATTATTGTTACCAGCATCATCTAATTTTATTCTCAAATATATATAATATATTAAAATATACATACTATATACTATATTATATCTAATATTAAAATACTATATATAAACACATAATATATATACATATATGTATAATATATAAACAAAACCCAAAACAACCAGTGTCTTAGGGGTTCTATTGCTGTGAAGAGACACCATGACCACAGCAACTCTTACAAAGGAAAACATTTAATTGAGTGGCTTACAGTTTCAGAGACTTAGTTCATTATTATCATGGCAGGACATGGTGGTGTATAGGCAGACATAGTGCTGGAGAGGAGAGTGGAGAAGGAGCTACATCTTGATCCCCGCGGGCAACAGGAAGTGATCTGAGACACTGGGTATATCTTGAGCATAGGAAACCTCAAAGCCCACCTACACAGTGACACACTTCCTCCAACAAGGCCATAACTACTCCAACAAAGCCACACCTCCTGATGGTGCCACTTCCTATGAGCTTATGGTGGCCAATTACATTCAAACTACCACAACCATAAAGCCAGTATTATTTCCATTTTATGGATAAAGTTTGGAGAAGTGACATAACTTCCCCAATGTCCCCAGAACTAGGACACAGCACGTCCAGTTTTAAAACCCAGTTAGCACTGCCTATGTATTACATTGCCTTGCTAACCAGCTCACTGCAGACACTCATCCCCAGAACGCACTGATACATAACATTCCAAGGTACTCAAAGTGGAGTGAGTGCTGTGCTCTGACTTAGGGAAACAAATTCGGAGCAGAGAGGGCATTAAGAGTAACACTGAGGGCTGGAGAGCTGGCTCAGGGGTTAAGAGCATTGCCTGCCCTTCCAAAGGTCCTGAGTTCAATTCCCAGCAACCACATGGTGGCTCACAACCACCTGTAATGAGACCTGGTGCCCTCTTCTGGCCTGCAGAGATATACACAGACAGAATATTGTATACATAATAAATAAATAAATATTAAAAAAAAAAAGAGTAACACTGAGGCGGTAAAACTCCTAGTAGGGGGAGGTGATACGCACCTGTAATACCAGCTTTGGGGAGATGGAGCCAGCTTGAGGCTAGCCTGGGCTACAAGGGCTCCTGTCTCAAAACACACAAAACTGCTAATCATTTTTCCTGTATCTTTCTCATCTAATTTATATTTTGAGACAATCATGTCTCACGATGAAGTCCTGGCTGGGGTGGAACTTGCTACATGGACCAGACTGACCAAGAACTCTCAGAAATCCTCCTGCCTCTACCTTCCAAGTGCTGGAATTATGGGCCTGTGCCATCACAACCGGCTCAACTTGCCTGTCTATAATATCAGCCACCTTTAATGCACCCTCAAAGCATTCTTGCTTAAAGTTCTTAATTGGTCTTCCATCATCCTTAAGATAAATCCTATTTCTTAGCTGCCCTGTAGTAAGCCCTGTCTGCTCTGCCTCACTCAAGGCTTTGGCTGTGCAATGGGAGTAGAACTTGGGAGTCTGGGATGATTTGTGTGATCTTCCGCTGTTGCTGGCCCTAATGTCTTCTTCAGGGGAGGGAATGAGAAGGCATGGTGTCAATGTCTCAGACACCCCTTCTCCTCCATGTCCCTGTCATGCCTCGGTCTATCCAGACTGCACACATTTCCTCAAGTGCATCATGGTTTCTCCCACGCCACTGCACCTCCCTCTGCCTGCCGATGCTTTGTAAAGTCTCAGTCAAGTGTCACTCTTTCTAGAAATCCTTCCCTAATCCTCTCACACTCCTCAGACTTTGCGAGGAAGGATTCTGTGTGCCGTTCAATTGGCTCACCAATCATTTGAGTGCAACCCATGGGACTACAAAGATCTCACACCTTCACACAGTGTGCAGGAGGCTAGGGAGATGGCTCAGTGGGTCAACTGCTAGTATAAATGCAAGTCTAAGGCTCTGAGTTTGGATCCTGAACACCCATATAAAAAACCGGGCATGGTGGGTGGTGCACACCTCTAACTCTAGCACTGGCATGGAGACAGGTGACAGGTAAAGTCATAGGAGGTCACTGGCCAGATAGTCTACCAAAACTCCAGGTCCAATGATAGACCTTTTCTCAAAAAATAACACAGAGAGTGATGGAGGAAGGCATCCCAACATCAGTCTCTGGCCTATATACACATACACACACCACACCACACATGCACACTATACACACACCACACCACACATGCATATCATACACACACCACACACACATGCACATCATACACACACCACACACACACCACACAATACATGCATACCACACATGTACAGCACACACCATATACATCACACACACCTGCACATCATACACATCCACACCACACATGTACACCACACACACACACCACACCACACACACACAAACATGCACACCACACACACACCACACCACACATACCCGCATACCACACACACACCATACCACACACAAATGCACAACACACCCACACAAATGCACACCACACCCACACACCACATACACACCCACCAAACCACACATACACACACACACACACATGCACACCACCACACCACACACGCACGCACACATACGCATACACACACACACACACACGAACCTGCTACCTGGAAGAAGCAAGTGCTACAAGGGGATGAACACAGCATCAGGCATTAGCCCAGCATGAAGTTCAAGAGGCTGATGAGCAAAGGTGACAAAGAGGTCAGTGAACTCCAAAGACCTAAGGTGGGAATAAGATCTCTGCAGGGAGTCAGCTCAGTTCAGAACTATTTGCTTCTTAGGATGACAAGTGCTCAACATATATTTGCTTCCAGGAGAGAATCATTTGTCACGTTTTATCAGGCCTGCACCTAAGCTACTGTAGAAGTTCATTGGGCAGGGACATGATTTTTCAGTAGGTCAAGCTAATGTCTTCTTAAGTCACCATAGCCTTGCCTTGGCTGCAAAGAAGCAAACAGTCTAGGATACGAAACTGACTGCTTGGTCTTCTCTATTTGATGCACGGCAAGACAACAGAGGGGCTCCTAACTACTTCTCACGCACATTAATCCCTGCCGGGTCCTCCAGCAGCGACAGTAACAGCCATCAAGTTTCAGAACATCTATCCTTTCTAAAGCTATGCTGGTGTCTTGCTAAACACATTTTTTTTTCTCTTGTTAATCTGATTGATTTGGATATTCTAACTACGAGGAAGACAAAAAATTGAGACTCAAAATAAGGTGAAAGAAGCTGTTCAAGGTCACCCAGATGGTGAACCATGGATTATGGGATTTAAATTTAATACCCAAGGCAAAAGTTCTCTCCACACCTAAATTAGCGCATCTCTGAGCTGTAAGGGAGTTGGTAAACCCTGAAGGATGCTCTTTAGTCTAAAGCACC